AAAAAAAAAAAAAAATCAGGAGAAAAATTATCTGGGATTGGTTTTGGGTGTTTGTAGTCCCAGCTACTCAGGAAACTGAGGCAGGAAGATCACTTGAGCCTAGGAGTTTGAGGTTGCTGTGAGCTGTGATTATACCACAGCACTCTAGCCTGGAAAACAGAGTGAGACTTTGTCTCCAAAAACAATAAATAAAAGTAAATAAATAAATAAATAAGTGTGGATTTTTCATTGGGCTACTTGCTAACTTCTTCCTGGAGTATCAATAGGCAAATGCTTCTCTTTCTAAATTACATGAAACTGTGAGGGGACTTCTGTTTGGCAGACATAGGAGTATGTGGTCAAGCACAAAATGGGGCGATGTGATGGTCTAGATGAGAGAGAAAGGCAAGACGGGGGAGGGAGGTGTGCGTTAAGAATCACCCAGATCACAGGCACCAGAGAGCATTATGCGATGGGTGAGGGTTGAGGGAGACAGGATGTGGCCCCAAATGCATTCAGCTGTCAACAAAGGTCAAGTCAGCTAGAAAAGATGTGAAAATAGGACAAGATCTTAAAAATATGATTAATCTGGGCAGACAGAAAGCCTTCAAATGCAGAGCTGCTACATTGCAGAAGAAAGCTGTTTTGGCTTTGGTGATGGAATGAGTCCAGAGCCTCCTGAGAAATTCCCAAAGGCACTCAAGTTTCAGGAGCACAGCATAAAGAGCACGAGGCATGGGAAGCTGCGACAGAAAGGTTAGGAAAATCAAGTTTCCGAAGACCAGGAAGATGAGACTTGGTGTAATATGATGGAGAGAGCACTGGTCTTAGCATCATCAAGCTGGGTTTGAAAGCCTGTACCACGAATTATTAGCTGTGATGCTCTGGACATTTTTCTGATCTCCATTGAGCAACACTTTCCTCTTTATTAAAAATGGGAACGGTTGGCTTGGTGCCTGTAGCACAGTGGTTACGGCACCAGTCACATACACCGAGGCTGGCAGGTTCGAACCTGGCCCGGGCCAGCTAAACAACAATGACAACTGTAACAGCGAAAAAAACAGCTGGGTGTTGTGGTGGGTGCCTGTAGTCCCAGCTACTTGGGAGGCTGAGGCAAGAGAATCGCTTGAGCCCAAGAGTTTGAGGCTGCTGTGAGCTGTGATGCCATAGCACTCTACTGAGGGCGACATAGTGAGGCTGTCTCAAAAAAAAAAAGAAAATGGGAATGGTGATACAACAACTATTCTCAGTGGGTGGGCACATCGCGATAATTTATAGAACGTGTCAGGCAATATCTGATCCATACATGGTACTCAGTGAGGGGTGCTGTCTTTAAAAGTTTCCAAGGACTTCCACTGCTATAAAACTCACTGTCTTGACTTGAGACTATGCTATTTTCCCTCTTCTATTAAACAAAGGGTAAAAAATTCTCTTTTTTACATTTCTTTCTTCATTGAGTACAGGTGATGTCTCCAAAACAACTTATCATGAGTATATTTTGCTGTGTTTGTTTGTTTGTTTGTTTGCAGTTTTTGGCTAGGGGCTGGGTTTGAACCTGCCACCTCTGGTATATGGGGCTGGCACCCTACTTCTTTGAGCTACAGGCACTGCCCCATTTTACTGTTTTTATAGTAATTTATTTTTTTCTTTTTCCTTCTTAGTGTGGCACAAAAGCAGGCTGGATTTTCTCTCTCTTTCTCTCTCTCTCTCTTTTTTTTAGAGACAGAATCTCACTTTATCACTCTCAGTAGAGTGCCATGGCATCACACAGCTCACAGCAACCTCCGACTCCTGGGCTTAGGTGATTATCTTGCCTCAGCCTCCTGAGTAGCTGGGACTACAGGTGCCCACCATAATGCCTGGCTATTTTTTGTTGCAGTTTGGCTGGGGCTGGATTTGAATCCACCACCCTCAGGATATGGGGCCAGCACCCCACCCACTGAGCCATAGGCGGCGCCCCTGGATTTTCTCTTTTTTTTTTTTTAAGACAGAGCCTCAAGCTATCCCCCTGGGTAGAGTGCTGTGGCATCACAGGTCACAGCAACCTCCAACTCCTGAGCTCAAGCCAGTCTCCTGCCTCTGCCTCCCAAGTAGCTGGGACCACAGGCACCTGCCACAGCGCCAGGCTATTTTTTGGTTGCAGCCATCATTGTTGTTTGGTGGGCTGGGGCTGAATTTGAACCCACCACCTTAGGTGTATGTAGCTGGAACCTTAGCCACTTGAGCCACAGGTGCCTAGCCGATTTTCTCATTTTTAATTGCAGAAATAATTAGGTTATTTTTACCAGCCAGGTAGGAGCAAATTTCACTTACTTTACATGCCATAGAACAACAAACAACCATTATTGTTGCATCAGGATCCATTTAAAATTCTCCTTTAGGTTCACTTTGGCTGTAGATTAAAGTATAGAGTTAGTGACAAACAGTATCTAAAAATGACAACCTAAAATCTTCTCTTTCCTGTTCAGGGAGACCTCTTGAAAATAATATAAGAAATCTCAGGCATCTAATCCTATTAAAATCTGTCAACCCTACTGGTAAAAATAATACACATCCTATACTTTCCATTTAATGCTGTCTCTTTTTTGATCAAATTTTTCTCTTCCAATAGCATGACTCGTGGCAGAATTTAACAATCGTATGAATCTCTCCTTTTCTTGGCTTTGAGAAAAGGGCTGCCGCTTCGCACTGCTCATATTTCCTCGTCCTGTTCTTCCGTGATTGACTGATGGTTCATGTGGAGGGAGAGTTGATATTCTGAGTGCCTCATGCAGATTGCAATAATTCACTTGGGAAGTGTTTAAAA